ACTCAGAGAGAGGACGACTCAGAGAGAGAGAACGACTCAGAGAAAGGACGACTCAGAGAGAAGACGACTCAGAGAGAGGACGACTCAGAGAGGACGACTCACAGAGAGGGAACGACTCAGAGAGGACGACTCAGAGAGAGGACGACTCAGAGAGGTAGTGTAGCGGTTAGCGCGCTGCGCTACAAACCTGGCGGCCCGGGTTCGATTCCCCCTCACGGCCGTCACCAGTGACGATTATCTGAACCGGTCCTGGGCCTCCCCTAGGTCGACTCAGCCTCAAATGAGTACCTGGTGCGATGTGTAAACATCGTCACTCGGGAGACAAAGGCGGCCGGGCGTGGTAATGGCCACCCATCTCCTCGTGTGCCGTGCCGGCCTTCATAGGTGCTCGCTAACAGCACTTGCACCTACAGTCTGTCAAGGCTACACGGGGGATCTTTGTCTTTGTGTCATTGTGCGTGTGCGTTGAACGTGTTTCGCACCGTACGTAGCCAACCGTGCGAATCGGAGGTGAGCGGGAAGGGACGGCAAACCCAACACTCACACAACCGCAGCAGACGACCGCGGCGTGTGTGAGTGGTTCGCACGCCGGACTTGCAATCCAGAGCCGACGATTCGACTCGCCGTCTCTGTCCAGCCTTGCCCCCAGGTTTGGGTTCACCGGAATCACAATCTTTACTTAGACTGGGACGAGTCCCATGCGCTGTGAAGATCTTGCGTTGACTCTCCGCTCACCGCCGGTCTCGTCGGAATCCACGAGAAGAGCGCACCCAGGGACGTGGTGAACGCAGCAGCGCACGGCACGGGCACCTGGGAGGCTGCTGTTCGTGCCGTGCGCGTGGTCCTTCGGATCATCGCGTCTCCCCACACCGTGGTGGGTGGGTGGGTGAGTGGGGAGGGGTCTGTACCTGACATGAATCCTCGCAGCTCGGATGAAGAAGACCCGTGGCTCTCGTAACTCTGCTGCTTGCTCCGGGCGAGTGTCTCTGCGCGTTCCCCTGCGCGTGACGATGCGTGCCTGGAGTGCTCGCGACGCTGCCGCCCAGCTGTGTTTATTGACTCGGCTAAACGTTCGCCCCCCCCCCCCCACCACCTCCACCTCCTCCTCGTTCTCCGTTTGGCGACTCTATCCCTGTCGTGTGAACGGATCTTTGCTCGTCGATGCCAAAAAAACATCTTTGGCTCGCGCAAAACAAAAACGTCGGACATTTAGCGCTACGCTGCGCTACGAACCTAGCGGCTCCGAGTTCGATTCCCGCTCACGGCCAACACCGGTGACGATTATCTGAAACGGTGTTGGCTAGGTCGACTCAGCCTTCAAATGAGTACCTGGTGCGGTGTGTAAACATCGCTACTGGAGAGACAAAGGCGGTCAGGCGTGATGCTGGCCCCCCATCTCGTGTGCCGTGCCGGCCTTTGTAGGTGCTTGCTAACAGCACTTGCCCCAACAGTCTGTTCAGGCTACACGGGGGATCTTTGTCTTTGTTTCCTGTTCCTATGTGTTGTCAATGTTGTGGGGAGCGGTGGTGTAGTGGTTAGGACGCTGCGCTACGAACCCGGCGACCCAAGTTCGATGCCCGCTCACGGCCAACACCAGTGACGGTGCTGGGCCTCCCCTAAGTCGGCTCAGCCTTTAAATTAGCACCTGGGGCGGTGTGTAAACATCGCCAACTAGGGAGACAAAGGCGGTCGGTCGTGGCCCTAGCCACCCACCCCCCTCGTGTGCCGTAGCGGCCTTCGTACGGCACTTGCCCCAAAGCCCTGTCGAGGCTGTACGGGGGGTCTTTGTCTTTGTTATGCACCAGTTGTGAGCTTCACAGTCGCCGTCATCTGCCGCGGTTCCCGAGACACGTGGAGCGTGTTGCCAAATAAATAAATATATAATGCGTCACCTCCTATGTCTGGCGGAGATGATGACGCCCCTCGCCCCCATCACCCCCCCCCCATCACCCCCCCGCCCCCATCACCCCCCCGCCCCCATCACCCCCCCCGCCCCCATCACCCCCCCCCGCCCCCATCACCCCCCCCCGCCCCCATCACCCCCCGCCCCCATCACCCCCCCCGCCCCCATCACCCCCCCACCCTCATCACCCCCCCGCCCCCATCACCCCTCCGCCCCCATCACCCCCCGCCCCCATCACCCCGCCCCCATCATCCCCCCGCCGCCCCATCACCCCCCGCCCCCATCCCCCAGCCCCATCACCCCCCCCGCTCCCCATCACCCCGCCCCCCATCACCCCCTCCCCCATCACCCCCCCCGTGTGAACGCGTCACCAACACAGCTGTTATCTGCCTCAGCCATAATCTATCTGCTGCTGGATGGAGGCCGCGGCTAGGAAATAGAATGATCAACGTGTAGACTTGAGTTTGTCAAACAATGGACGATACATGAACCGATATGATTAAACTAAAGAATGCTACATCCACAAACATTGTGGGGGTTGTTCTTTATTTTGCTTAATTCGAGTATCAATACCGCACTCTGTACAAGGAGGTGTTTTGGTTTGGTGTGGCAGGAACTCAGAGATGTCCGGAGAGAACCCATCACACAGACACGGTGGTGGGGGGGGGGGCGGAAACGCTCAAGGGTCCGCGGAAGCGGAGTTGGCGGAGCTGCTGCTTGCTGCACTCGCCAGCACGCAGCAGCAGCAGCAGCCCGGCGGGGTTTCTTTTTTTGAAGTTTCACAAATCATTGCGTGATCCACCACCCCTGCTGCTGGAACACGCTCAACACATTCAGCAAGAGCACTGCCGACTTAAATGGGGGGGGGGGGGGGGGGGATTTTTTTGGTCATATGTATAATGGGAGACGTTTCGGGCGATGGTCCTACATGATAGAAAGGCCGGCGAGAAAGAGTTGATAACAAGATAACTCCTCAGATTATTTTTCTTTGTAAGGCCACGGTGTTATTCGAGAATGTGATGAGTTGTTTTTGTGTTAATCGCGCAGCAGTGCCACACTCAGTTGTATGTAGAGTCCAGTACACGTTTTAAGGACACTCAGTGGGGCCGTCCATAAATGACGTCACACACCTAGGGGGGTGGGGGGGGGTCAGACATTTGTGACGATGTGTGACGAGCGGGGGGGGGGGTTGAGAAATGTGACGTCACATCAAAATGGGCAACTTTACATCAATATAGACAACACGTTGTACTTAATTAAATAGACTTTTTAATAAATGTTTTCTCCTCCAACATCAGAGTGCAGCGCCACATGAAATACGCACTACAATGACAATAGTTTAAAGCGATTTGAAGCATGTTTTATATTTTTTTGGGGGGGGGGGGCAGAGCTTTGTGACGTCATATTTGATGGGGGGGGTCTGACGAAGTGGGGGGGGGGGGGTTTAAATCGTACAAAATCGCGTGACGTCATTTATGGACGGGCCCTGTATGTGTTGTATGTAGAGTCGAGTACACAAACCTGTCAACGCCTTATCAGACCAATTCAGATCTTATTGGTCACCCCGTGTCCCTTATACATCTCAACGTTCATCCCACAAAGTCCCATCACAAGGCAGAAACACAACACACGTTTACAACTCAATGTTGACTCAATTTCCCTGCACAAGAATACGGCTAACCCGTATGCGTTGACGGGTATGAGTACATGTTGTATGTGCACTACATCACATGTTGTATGTGCACTACATCACATGTTGTATGTGCACTACATCACACGTTGTATGTACACTACATCACATGTTGTATGTACATCACATGTTGTATGTACACTATATCACATGTTGTATGTGCACTACATCACATGTTGTATGTACACTACATCACACGTTGTATGTACACTACATCACATGTTGTATGTACATCACATGTTGTATGTACACTATATCACATGTTGTATGTGCACTACATCACATGTTGTATGTGCACTACATCACATGTTGTATGTACATCACATGTTGTATGTACACTATATCACATGTTGTATGTGCACTACATCACATGTTGTATGTGCACTACATCACACGTTGTATGTACACTACATCACACGTTGTATGTACACTACATCACATGTTGTATGTACATCACATGTTGTATGTACACTATATCACATGTTGTATATACACTACATGCTGTATGTACACTACATCACATGTTGTATGCACAATGCATGTTGTATGTACACTACATCACATGTTGTATGTACACTGCATGTTGTATGTACACTACATGTTGTATGTACACTACATGTTGTATATACAGAGAGGGAAACAAGTGTTTGATCGCCTGCTGATTTTGTACGTTCGCCCACTGACAAAGAAATGATCAGTCTATAATTTAAATGGTAGGTTTATTTGAACAGTGAGAGACAGAATAACAACAAAACATCCAGAAAAACGCATGTCAAAATGTTATAAATTATAATTGGTTTTTAACTCTTCTATCTGGCAACAGAACTGACACCTTTTTACAAGGAGTCATGTTTGCATAGACCGCAATACCTGCAGTCATAATACAAACAAAAGACATAACTCTGATAATGTGCACTGTCCTTGAAGTTGATTGGTCCACACCCGAGACAGCTTTCTTTAGAGCCTAGTCTCACATGGGTTGGACCAGATGACGCCAAAAGGCGCACAACTCAAAGACAATGCACCATCAGAGTATGAGAGCTCGGGGCAAGCATCTACACTATGGGAACCTCATTTGCCAGTAAAAATATGATAATTGTTTTTTTACCCTTCTATCTGGCAACAAAACTGACACATTTTTACAAGGAGTCATGTTTGCATAGACCGCAATACCTGCAGTCATAATACAAACAAAAGACATAACTCTGATAATGTGCACTGTCCTTGAAGTTGATTGGTCCACACCCGAGACAGCTTTCTTTAGAGCCTAGTCTCACATGGGTTGGACCAGATGACGCCAAAAGGTGCACAACTCAAAGACAATGCACCATAGTGTAGATGCTTGCCCCGAGCTCTCATACTCTGATGGTGCATTGTCTTTGAGTTGTGCGCCTTTTGGCGTCATCTGGTCCAACCCATGTGAGACTAGGCTCGAAGGAAAGCTGTCTCGGGTGTGGACCAATCAACTTCAAGGACAGTGCACATTATCAGAGTTATGTCTTTTGTTTGTATTATGACTGCAGGTATGGCGGTCTATGCAAACATGACTCCTTGTAAAAAGGTGTCAGTTTTGTTGCCAGATAGAAGGGTAAAAAACCAATTATCATATTTTTACTGGCAAATGAGGTTCCCATAATGTTATAAATTGATTTGCATTTAAATGAAGGAAATAAGTATTTGACCCCCTCTCAATCAGAAAGATTTCTGGCTCCCAGGTGTATTTTATACAGGTAACGAGCTGAGATTAGGAGCACACTCTTAAAGGGAGTGCTCCTAATCTCAGCTGGTTACCTATATAAACGACACCTGTTCACATAATCAATCAATCAATCAGATTCCAAACTCTCCACCATGGCCAAGACAAAAAAGCTCTCCAAGGATGGCAGGGACAAGATTGTAAACCTACACAAGGCTGGAATGGGCTACAAGACCATCGCCAAGCAGCTTGGTGAGAAGGTGACAACAGTTGGTGCGATTATTCGCAAATGGAAGAAACACAAAAGAACTGTCAATCTCCCTCGGCCTGGGGCTCCATGCAAGATCTCACCTCGTGGAGTTGCAAGGATCATGAGAACGATGAGGAATCAGCCCAGAACTACACGGGAGGATCTTGTCAATGATTTCAAGGCAGCTGGGACCATAGTCATCAAGAAAACAGTTGGTAACACACTACGCCGTGAAGGACTGAAATCCTGCAGCGCCCGCAAGGTCCCCCTGCTCAAGAAAGCACATATACGTGCCCGTTCGAAGTTTGCCAATGAACATCTGAATGATTCAGAGGACAACTGGGTGAAAGTGTTGTGGTCAGATGAGACCAAAATGGAGCTCTTTGGCATCAACTCAACTCGCCGTGTTTGGAGGAGGAGGAATGCTGCCTATGACCCAAAGAACACCATCCCCACCGTCAAACATGGAGGTGGAAACATTATGCTTTGGGGGTGTTTTTCAGCTAAGGGGACAGGACAACTTCACCGCATCAAATGGACGATGGACGGGGCCATGTACCGTCAAATCTTGGGTGAGAACCTCCTTCCCTCAGCCAGGGCATAGAAAAATGGGTCGTGGATGGGTATTCCAGCATGACAATGACCCAAAACACACGGCCAAGGCAACAAAGGAGTGGCTCAAGAAGAAGCACATTAAGGTCCTGGAGTGGCCTAGCCAGTCTCCAGACTTTAATCCCATAGAAAATCTGTGGAGGGAACTGAAGGTTCGAGTTGCCAAACGTCAACCTCGAAACCTTAATGACTTGGAGAAGATCTGCAAAGGGGAGTGGGACAAAATTTATCCTGAGATGTGTGCAAACCTGGTGGCCAACTACAAGAAACGTCTGATCTCTGTGATTGCCAACAAGGGTTTTGCCACCAAGTACTAAGTCATGTTTTGCAGAGGAGTCAAATACTTTTTCCCCTCATTCAAATGCAAATCAATTTATGACATTTTTGACAATCGTTTTTCTAGATTTTGTTGTTGTTATTCTGTCTCTCACTGTTCAAATAAACCTACCATTAAAATTACAGACTGATCATTTCTTTGTCAGTGGGCAAACGTACAAAATCAGCAGGGGATCAAATACTTTTTTCCCTCACTGTACACTACATGTTGTATGTAGACTACATCACATGTTGTATGTACACTACATGTTGTATGTACATCACATGTTGTATGTACACTACATCACATGTTGTATGTACACTACATGTTTTATGTACATCACATGTTGTATGTACACTACATCACATGTTGTATGCACACTACATGTTGTATGTGCACTACATGTTGTATGTACATCACATGTTGTATGTACACTACATGTTGTATGTACATCACATGTTGTATGTACACTACATGTTGTATGTACACTACATGTTGTATGCGAACTACATGTTGTATGTACATCACATGTTGTATGTACACTACATGTTGTATGTGCACTACAGAACATGTTCGAATTCCGCACGGGTTCTGCGAGTCACGCGCACGACAATTAACGGCACGTGCCCAAGCAGCGGACTGACGAAGAGCTGCAAACAACAACAACAACAAAGACTACGACGATTTCGTGATTCTATCAAGAACGCCTCATTCGGGGACCCAACGCGCTGCTGTCCCCTGGAGGCAAGGACGTCGCCTCGCGCCACGAGACGTCGCCTCGACACGAGAGGGCGCACGCGCGACACGAGAGGGCGCGCGCGCGCCACGAGAGCGCGCCACGAGAGCGCGCACGCGCGACACGAGAGGGCGCGCGCGCGCGCCACGAGAGCGCGCGCGCGCGCCACGCGGCCTCGACCTCAGCGACTGCGGAGCGGGGGAGGCATCACCGAGGAGTCGGTCGTGCTCCTCCCCTCCCCACACTGGATTTAGGGCAGGAGAAGTCGCTGCAGCAATGATGAGGGATTCCGCCTGTGCCGTCTGCATGGGATCGAGAGCAGGCACGGGGGGGCGAGGGGGGGGTAACATAGCGGTCTCGTAGCCGCTTGCGGCTCTTTAAAGACCGTTTCTTCGTGAGGTTCTTTATTGAGAGACCACCCTCTCGTGTTCACCACGACGACAGTGCATTGCGGCTCTTGAAATGTTGAGGGATTTTGTTGTTGTAACGAATTCGGAAGGAAAAAAATGTCTCTTCTTGTTGTTTTGGTTGCCGACTCCTGGGATAGAGCGTTGCCCTCTCGCACGCGTGAGTTTTCTCCGGGCGCTCGGGTTTCCTCCCACACGTATACACATTCGTTCATTGGCCAACGACACCTTCATATGTGGAGGATCGCAGAGCTTGGATCATTGCCGGCGCCGGGTCACAGCTGCTGTCTTCCCGCTCGTCTGTGGTGGTTCCTCCTCCTCTCGCCGCCGAGTCGTCCTCTCTCTAAGTCATCCCCTTGAGTCATCCGTTCTCTCTTTGAGTCATCCTGTCTCTCTCTGGGTCATCCTCTCTCTGTGGGTCATCCTCTCTCTCTCTCTCTGAGTCGTCCTCTCTCTCTGAGTCGTCCTCTCTCTCTCTCTCTGAGTCGTCCTCTCTTTTTCTGGGCCATCCTCTCTGGGTCGTTCTCTCTCTCTCTAAGTCATCCTCACTTTCTGAGTCGTTCTCTCTCTCTCTCTGAGTCATCCTGTCTCTCTCTCTCTCTCTGGGTTATCTTTTCTCTCTCTCTGAGTCGTCCTCACTCTCTCTGAGTCATCCTGTCTCTCTCTGAGTCATCCTGTCTCTCTCTGGGTCGTCCTCACTCTCTGAGCCGTCCTCTCTCTCTCTGAGTCATCCTGTCTCTCTCTGGGTCGTCCTCTCTCTCTCTCTAAGTCATCCTCACTCTCACTTTCTGAGTCGTCCACTCTCTCTCTACGAGAGCGAGCGAACTTTGTGCGACTGCGGTTCGTCACGAGTCCAGATGAGTATTCTAAGTTTCCGCAGCCAATTACAAAAACAGACACAAGAGGCACGGGAGTGATAGTGTACAGCCTTGCGTCACTCCACTGCTGGATGAGAGGCCTCAACCAACGCAGCGCAATACCGTGGGAGTTGTTTGACCATACTTCACCACGATTGGTCAGTGGGGTTCCGACGACAATCGATTCCGCTGTCACCGCGCGCCACTGATGCCAGCCGGGAGTGGAGTCGAACTCAGGTGGAGGGGTTCACAGCGCAGTTTGGGGAGCACGGCTCGCTCCACAACCCGAGGCAACAGGGCGCGAATGAAATTCCCCTAATTTCCGGATGATATGACTCCCAGCGTGTATTTCAAAGCAGTAGTCGATAAGTGTGTGTGTGTGTATGTGAGTGGCCAGGCTGGATTGTGTGAGGAGCTCACAAATCCTTGAAAGATCTGGGCAAAGTCCCATCGGTGAGCTCCTCCGGCAGGCAAGGCTGCGTTGGCTGGGTCATGTAGCCCGCATGCCCAGCCACCGCACGCCTAAACAGCTTATGTTCGGCCGGATCGAGGGGGCTAAACGGGCGCGGCACGGGCTAGAGAAGAGATGGAATGATGCGGTACAGGAGGACGTGGAAATTAGTGGACTTGCCGATGACTGGTACCAGCGGTGTCAAGATCGCCCTCTGTGGAGGAGGCTCGTGAAGGACGCTACTGGCCAGTTGGAGGCAGTCGCCCTCCAACAACAACGGAGGGCGGAGGAGCGACGCTCACAACAACGAGCGGAGCGCCGGGTGGCTAAAGCACAGCAAGTTGGCACAGTAGGGGGCACAGGTGGTGCATCAGCCAGTCATCTCAGTCAGTCGTCCCGTGGCACCTAATGGGTCTGCCCCGTGACCTCCTGCCAGCGGGCGTTCGACACTTCACGTGACCTCAAGGTGCACATAGCCTGGCACAAGCGTCGTGGTGACGTCACCGCCACTTAGTGGCGAATGGCGGTTGTTGTATTTACATAACCTGATTGGCATAGGGCACACGTTTGTTTGGGTGCGTCTCACTTTCCAGAGTCTTATCATCGGCAGAGCGCGGTGAGACAAGTACGCGGTACTAACACTCGCATAGTCCACACTCATTTTTGCAACGAGGGTTTATTGAATGCGGTCTCTCTCGATCGGGAACACACTCACACACGCGCGCACGCACGTCGGCTCCGTTAACGTCCTCGTACACACGGTACTGTGTGGCTCGGGCTCATTCAGTGAAGCAAGAATACAAATCGTGTTTGTTTTCTAAGCGAGTTGTGAACGACGACGGCATCTACCGCAGCATCTACTTCGTCGGCTACGCGATAGCGCGGCGCGTGTGTGTGTCGCTCTCCAAGTCGGCGTTCTTCACCGCTCTTCACAGGAGGGGGCCACTTTCGCCGATAAGACGTCGTGAGTGCGCAACACGAAACCATTGTTGGGTTTGACAGCAGCACGATGATGACGACGGTGGTAATGATGATGGGGGGTGCTGTCCAAGGCCGTAATTATAATATATATTGGGGGGACCCATCCCTCTCCCAATATTCAAATATGCTCAAAATGTCCCCCCCCCAATATATTGCTATAAAATAGATTTCTGTTTATATGATTGTGGTTATGGTTGTACTTTATTAATTCATAATATCTGCCATTACATACAATGAAACAAGAACAAGTAAAAAATAACAGAGCAATGTAATACAATACACTATTAGACAGTATTGTAAAACATAAAAAAGTCCATCCCATGTGTTAGTGCATTTTTTTACATTTTAGGCAGAAAATTAGTTTTCAAATTTAGATTTCTTTTTTCTAGGGGGGGACCTGCAGACCCCGTGGAAGATTTGGTCCCCCCCCCCCCCCCCCAATGTTGACTCCATGGCTACGGCCTTGGTGCTGCCGCTTTAGTTTGTGTGTGTTGTCGGGGGCCGCACTAAAGGCCACTAGGGCCCACTAGTGGCCCTGGGCCTCGCAACGAAGAACGCTGCTCGAGGCCGCTCTAGACCGCTCTAGGCCGCTCTAGGCTGCCCCATGCGCACGACGCTACGCCTCGACTCTTCTTTTACAATATTATTAATAATTATTATTGACGTTCATACAGACAATTAGATATGTACAACACGGAGGAGGTTTACAATTATACAAAGCGCTAGGAGGGCATTACATCGTTACTCCACTCGTTACAATCCCTTCTAACCTCACCGTGTCCACCACGTGTCAATAAGTTAAAACCGCAAAACGTTCCAAAACAACTTCCTTTTATTCCTACGGCATTATTCCTCGGTACCTCGCTGATCTCGTCAAGGAGCATAAACCACCATCACGCGAGCGGCTTTTGGCTCGGCCATCGAACAAAGGCGGTGGCCACCGCATCGTCGCGTGGCGCTTTCAGATGCGATTCTGCGGCCGTCTGGAACGCTCTTCCCTCCCATGTTAGGAAGCCACCGGAGCTATGATGCACTGTTAAATCATCTAGGTTGAAAACTCATTTATTTAGAACTGCGTCTTGTGTTTAGTTTCTTGTCATTCTCCCGCACCTCCGATTGGCACGGCTGGCTACGTACGGCGCGAAAGAAGTTGCAGAGATTCGCGGTTCAGTTCCCAGCGGCCGCCCTAGTACATTAATTCTGCGGGTGCAAAAACAGTAACTATATATATACGCGCGTCCGTTTATCCTGTTCTACAGTGGACGTCAATATATTCCATGACATTATAAGAAATGTAGCAGGCCTGCACGTGAGCCGGCGTTTACTCGTTCCAAATTTGTCAAAGTTGTAAAAATAAAAATAAGACCCATAAATGACTAAATTTACTCAATTGGAAAATGCATGGGAATATCGCCTCCCCACTGCCCCATCTTCCTTCACTGCGAACCTTAGCGTGGGCTCTGCTGGGAACAGTGAGGCTCCGTGAGGCTCTGCTGGGTGAATGTTAAAGGAGAATGGGGAGTAGACTCCATGTGACACTCCGCACCCACAGTTTCGCGTGAATCGACAATCTGCGGGCTTTTTGTTCAACCATCCACAAGCTAATCGCTTAATCAATGTCCGCGATCAGTTTAACACTGACGGAGCGTGGCACTTTCATTGTATATATAAAAAATAACCAGATTAACGAGCCTTCATCAATCCACTGCTGGATGAAGGCCTGCCCCCGTGCCCGTGTGTCGACCACGAGGACCGTGCTTCACCAGGCCGGTGAGTGCGGGGTCTGGGTCAAGGTCTGGGTCAAGGTCTGGGTCAAGGTCTGGGTCAAGGTGAGGCTATGCACAGGGCCCGTTCGATAACCCTCGCCACCGACGTTAGCCGTGACCGAGAAACGACCTCAACTCGGGGCATACCCAAGGGGTGAGCTGAACACGGGTGAGTGAGTGTTTGGGCAAGCGGTAGTAGTGTAGCGGTTAGCGCGTTGCACTGCGAACCCGGCGACCCGGGGTCGATTCCCGCTCACGGCCAACATCGGTGACGGTTATTTGAACCGGTCCTGGGCCTCCCTTAGGTCGACTCAGTCTAAAACGAGTACCTGGTGTGATGTGTAAACATCGCCACTAGGGAGATAAAGGCAGCCGGGCGTGGTGTTGGCCACTCACCCCCTCGTGTGCCGTGCTGGCACTCGCTAACAGCACCTGCCCCAACAGTCGGTTAAGGCTATATGGAGGATCTTTGTCGTTGTTGGAGCGTGTTTAAATCCTAAACAGGGGGTCGGCCCTGCCATTCATCACTCCAGGTCCGATAAGAATAAATACCACGTTGTGGGAAATCAACAACGCCTGTGTCGTTTGGAATAATTCGTCATCGCCATACGAACGTGGATTTTCCTCCCCGGCGCTGTAACACAGCAGATACGGACTGCCCCATGCACCCGCCTGGAGCTGGCAACAACTTCAGATTTGTCTAAAAGCTCTCAGGTAATTGCGAGCGGTGTAGATTACTGAGCGTGTAAGCGGTGAAACTGCACTGGGGCCCACGCATCAGGTCACGGTGGCTAGGAGATGTTAACTACCTCGCCTGGTATACAGGAGGTCGTGGGTTCGATTCCAACCGTGGGTTCGATCCCAACCCTGACGCTTGTATGTTTGGAGTTTGCATGTTCTCTTTGTCTTTCCCGTGGCCGCGTGTGTCTTTCTCCGGGTCCTCCTGTTTTTTTAAATCAATATTTAGAATCAACATCACGCGTTTAGAGTCTTTGGCTACTGCTTGAAATCCCCACTGGGTGATTCGCCACTTGGTTGAGTTATCATTTGGGGCCAGGTCGTTCCTGAATAACAGCTACATTGCTCAGTGGGCCTTACCTGGTCAAACCAAAAAAAAGTTGTAAAGCTTTTTATAGATCAGAATCAGTATTTAGAATGGAGGAAATCCAGGGCCCATGTCAACCACGAGCCTTTATCTGTCCCCTGCTGGGTGGCTCGGAGCCCAGAGGGCGACCGGGCCTGGCTCTGTGCGTGCCAAGGGCGTTGGGTGCCTTGAGCTTCCAACTCATCGTCGTTTTCCACTTTCCACACTCGCGGACACGAATGAGACGTGGACTAACACGCGGACATCAAAACCGACACGCACTCGCCTCCCGTTGGCCATACACATCGTGGGAAATTAACAGCGGTTGACAAACAACACACATTTATTGGAGAGAGTGTTTTATATATATATTGTTTTTTTAAATAAAACTTCGCTAAGGCGTTTTTTTTGTGGGACTTATGGCACTGCGTGTCTGTGTTGTTTGTGTACGCACTAGGCCTCAACGTGCACCTAGCCTGGCACAAGCGCCGTGGTGACATTACCACCACTTATTGTCGAATGGCGACTGTTGTTGTTGTACGCGCTGCGCTTCAACCCCGGCCACCCGAGTTCAATTCGCCTTCACCACCAAATGCAGTGGTGAGCCCTCCCTTGGGTTGACTCAGCCTCAAATGAGTACCTGGTGCGGTGTGTAAACATCAGTACTGGGGAGACAAAGGCGGCCGGGCGTGGTGTTGGCCTGGAACCCCCTCGTGTGCCGATCCGGCCTTCATAGGTGCCCGCTATCAGCACTTGCTACAATAGTACGTTAAGGCTATACGGGGGATCTTTGTCTTTCGTGGCACTAATCGGTGCTCGCTGGCACCACGTGTCATCATCATCATCTAAAGGGATGGTGATTTGTTTAGTTTGTGTTCATTGTGACTAGTGGATGCAAAATGTTCGGTGCAGAGTTTGGAGCACTGTTCAAGTCGAATGGTGAGAAACTCGGATGCCTGTGTCCATCTCCCCGCGACTCGGGATTCTGACCGCCTGTGTGTGTGTCTCTCTCTCTCCGTGTCTCTATCGGCGTCTCTCTCTCTGGGTGTTTCTCTGTCTCTCTTCGTGTCTCTCATTCTGTCTCTATAGTTCTGCGTCTCTCTCTCTCTGCATGTCCTTCTCTCCGTGTCTCTCTCTTTATCCGTGTGTGTGTGTCTCTCTCTCTCTCCGTGTCTCTCTCTCTCTTTCTCCGTGTGTGTTTCTCTGTACGTCTGACTTCCAGGGCTTCTTTTCCCCTCGCCTCTACAGGGACCCCCCATCCTCCACTTCGTGTCGAGACTGATCTCACGGTAACAATAACCACGATCGTGATGAACGACTGTGAGCACTATCCACGCGCCCTTCCTCCTGCGATTTTCTTTACGTTTGCGGGTTTTTTTTTTTTGCGAACGCAGAGGCGAGACTCAATCATCCCGATGCGCCAAATCCTTTAAACGCAGAGAAGGAGCCGAGTGAGTTGCGAGCTGTCAAAACAGAATCATCGCTCGCGATTCGTGCCTCTGTTCGACCAGGGCGCGGGGGCGGGGCTGTTTGCGGTGGGGGGAGACGGGTGGAGAGAGGGGAGTGGGGGGGGGGGGTTACCCTCACTCACGGGGACTTCCTACGTGAGGTCACGGAACAATCCGGGGCATCCCTCTCTCCACCACCATCGCTCCGTTCCTCGCGTCATGCGATTGCGTCACAATGCGCACGCGTCCCTCGCTCGCTCGCGGAGCTGTTCGAGGGGCATCGACCTTGCCGTGCCGGTAACGAGGATGGGGCGGAACGAGTCGAACGCGTTACGATGTAAACACGGAGTGTCGATCACCGCCTCTGATGGGACCCCCCCCCCACCTTCCCCACAATTTGTCATCGTCTCGCGTGTGGCCGGCCTTCTCTGCGGGTCTCTAATGGCTGCGCGCAGGTGAAACCCGAGGGGTGACCGACTTGCTGTTCTCTTCATTGAGGCTGCGAGTCCAGCTGCGAGGGCCGAAGCGGGTGGTTTGATCCCATACGTGTGCCCCATCACGCCACCGCTCAGCGTGTGTGTGTGTGGTTCATGAAAACAAAGAAGTCCCGTGGTTGCAATCCTCCAGAGGGCGTTTTTTTTCTTCTATCGCGGAGGGGGTGGGGAGTCTCCACTGTCTCCGAGAACTCTCCATGGCATTGTCTTCGTATCTTGCAATGGAAGGAGCCGATTGCGCAATTGGGAAGAAACCCAAGAAAAAAAACAGTGGGTCCTAGAAATCTACAAAAATCTACCGGAGCGCTTAAAAGTGTCGTGTTGTTGTTGTTTGGACAAATGGAAAGACCCGGAAAGAGAGGGAGACCTCAGAGGAACTGGCTTGGTGACGACCACATCAAGAGATTGGGCCAAAAAAAAGGGATGTGGCCACTACTTGAGCATTTTGGCACTGCAAGACAGAGAGGAGAGTGGAAACAACAATTGACGACATGTGCAGTGGACACCTACGGGGCGACCTGGCCCCACGGATCGTGATGGTGGTGAGCGGGCCGTTCCTTGACGGCGTGACCTCCAATTGAATGCGGGGGGACGGTCCGCGATTGGCGCAGTGAACACCGCCGCTGGTATCCTCCTCCTCCGTGTGGATTTCCCACAGCCACGTGGCTTTCCCACAGCCACGTGGCCGTGGCTCGCGTCGTGGAGAGGCCCCCCGACAAAGTTGTGTGTGTGTCTCAGACCCCCCAAACGATGGATGCGAGCGTGATCCATCGAACAACAATGCGCACAAGAAGGCATAGCCCGGACGACACCGATGAAAACACACTGTTGCTGTTGCTGTTATTATCGTAAGGAGCAAAAAGCATCATCACGCAAGCTACGGTCATCCTCGCAGCAGTAGCGGCGGCGGCGGCTTCTGGCTCCGACATCGAACGAAGACGGCGGCCACCGCATCGCGTGGCGCTTTGAGACGCGCCTCAGCGGCCGTCCGCCACGCTCTTCCTTCCCGATATTAGGAAGCCACCGGGGAGCGATGTCACTTTTGACATCATCCAGATTTTTTAAACTCGTTTTGTTGTCTTCAGTTTGTGGTCCTTGCCCCCCACCCACCCCAGCGCGCGCACACCTCCGATCAGCAACAGTCGCCTGACGTACGGCGCGAAAGAAGTTCGACGAGGCGCGACGAGGCTCTCGCTCGTGCGCGCGACGGGCGCCTACGAGGATGGGCTCCTCTCGTCCTCGACGCTGTCGAGGCCTCGCCGCGAGCGCTGCCGGCGGCGCAGGCAGCACGCGTAGAGGCGCTCGCGGAGCTTGTTCATGCGCAGCGCGTAGATGAGCGGGTTCACCGCCGAGTTCACGCACACCAGCACCGAGGCGACCATGCGTCCCGACGAGAAGCGGGTCGCGTCCCGCGCCGAGTTGTACAGCGCGAGCAGCAGGGACGGCGTGAGGCACACGAGGAAGAAGGCGGCCACGATGCTCAGCGTCACGGCCGCCCTGCGGTACGTGAGCCCGCGGCCCGACGTGCCCTTACGGCCGCTGCCGCCGCCGGCACCGCCGCCGTTGGCGCCGAGGCCGCCCGGCTTCGGCGCGTCGGCCTTCGCCTCGTCGGCTTTCGCGTCGCTCGCCGAGGCGAAGGCCCCGCTCGCCGCCGCCGCCGCGTCCTCGCTGCTCTGAGCCGTGCGCTCCGTGTCCGCCGAGGACATCTCGAAGGTGGAGGAGCTCGAGTGCTCTCGCTCGGCGGGACGCGCCGCCCTCTTGCTCGTCTCCGACGCGACGGACACGCCGCTGCCCTTCCTCTTCGCGCTGCCCCCCCGGCAGAGGCCGGCCGGCCTGGACCCTGCCCCCGGCGTGAGCGCCGACGTGAGCGAATGCTGCTTCTGCTGCTGCTGCTTCTCCTGCTGCTGCTGCTGTTGATGATTCTGCTGCTGCTGCTGCCGCTGCTGCCGAGCGCGGTTCCAGCGGCTGCCCGCCGAGCCGTGCATCTGCCCCGTGCGTCGCGACACGGAGACGAGCAGCGCCAGGCAGAAGTAGCCGGTGAGCAGGAAGAGCGGCGTGTATCCCACGGACGTGCTCCCGAAGTACAAGCGCGTCGCGTCCTCGGGGAAGACGGCGCCCACGTGGCACGTGGTGGGCGCCCCCGCGGTGTCGTCTCGCGCCCACACGGCGAACGGGAGGACTCCGACGGCGGCCGAGTAGAGCCACACGAGCGCGATGGCCACCTTGGCGCGGAAGGCGTTGACGAGGCGGCGGTGGCCGTGCGGGCACCTCACCGCGGCGTACTGGTCCAGGCTGATGACGAACATCTGCGAGAGGGAGACCATGACGAGCACGCCGAGCACGCAGAGCGAGAGGGCGCAGTGTGCGTAGGTGCGCAGGGCGGGCGCGTAGATGGAGGCGAGCGCGAAGGGGAACGCCAGGCCCACGAGCATGTCCGACACGGACAGGTTGATGACGAAGTAGTAGTAGATGTTCTTCTGGCGGATCTCGGCCGTGGCGAACAGGTAGATGACCAGGCAGTTGCCCACGAAGGCGACGAAGCCGAAGATGTGCAGGAAGGCGAGGAAGGCGACCGTGCCCGCTGAGAAGTGGGACGCTACCGAGGAGCGCTCCGTGAGGCCCGAGGAGTTGCACCAGGGAGGCGAGGCCGCCCACATGAGATCGTCGCTGCCGGAGTTGTTGTTGTTGTTGATGGTGGTGGTGCAGAGAGGCGTGGGCAAGAGGGGAGGCATTGTAGTTCGTTTGTTTGATTTTGATTTCTTGGGATGGTTGTTCTTGGGGTGTCTCACGAATGCGTGGACCGTGGTGCCTGCAACGAATGAGAGATTCGATATTGAGAATTGTATCGATACATTTGTCACAATCGTCATATTGTGAGCGTGGTTTGGTGTTGCCTTACACATGCCGTCAGCGGCACGGCCTTGTGAGAGTGAATCTCATCAGCAGCATCGATTTCAATCCCCGGCAAAACTGGACCGGTTTCGTCATTTAGTGTCTCATCATCAGCAGCAGCAGCGGCAGTCAGGGGCCGTCCATAAATGACGGCACGCGGGTTTTACGATTTTTGACCCCTCGTCACACGGCGTCACAAACAGTCAGACCCCCCGCCTCAAATATGACGTCACAAAGCTCTGCCCCGCCCCCCAAAATAAACATGCTTCAAATCGCTTTAAACTATTGTCATTGTAGTGCGTATGTAATGTGGTGCTGCACTCTGTTGTAGGAGAAAACATTTATTTAAAAGTCGATTTAATTAAGTAGAACGTGTTGTCTATATTTATTTAAAGTTGCGCAGTTTAATGTGACGTCACATTTCTCAACACCCCCCCCTCCTCCTCGTCACTCATCGTCACAAATGTTTGACCCCCCCCCCACCCCTAGGTGCGTGACGTCATTTATGGACGGCCCCTCAGGCTCGCTCGAACCAATGTTGGTGACCTGCCCGATGTCTCGAGGCAAGGGCTACCCCCCCGCCCTCTCTGTGTGTTAGAATGAGCCAAGCAGACTCCTTTGTCCAGCTTTGTTTTACTGTCGATTGGCCGCGGTCCCAGTGGAGCGCGGTGGGGTGGGGGGTGATTCATAAACCAGCAGCCGCCGCCGCAGCCTCTTCACGCGCGCCCGGCACTCAATAACCCCCCCGCCCGCCTCTCTCTCTCGCCTCGACCCCACCGCACCATTAGCCCGCACATAAATAAAACAAGATCGATATAATTCAGAGCGGGACGCATCGGGGCTGTTTTGACGATTAAATATAGATGTCTCATCCGAGGCGGGGGTTTCTTCTTATCGTTTGACTGCTTGGCCACAACCGGCGATTTGTTTTATGGCACGCAGCTGCTGCTGCAGAGACGCAGCGTGACGCGAGCATTGTGCACACGCGAGCTGTGTGCACACATGCGCTGTGTGTGCTCACACACACAGCGCTGTGTGTGTGCACACGCGCTGTGTGTGTGCACACGCGCTCTGTGCGTGTGCACACGCGAGCTGTGTGCACACATGCGCTGTGTGTGCACACACACACAGCGCTGTGTGTGTGCACACGCGCTGTGTGTGTGCACACGCGCTCTGTGCGTGTGTGTGCACGCGCTGTGTGTGTGTGTGTGCACGCGCTGTGTGTGTGTGTGTACACGCGCTGTGTGTTTGTGTGTGTACACGCGCTGTGTGTTTGTGTACACGGGCTGTGTGTGTGTACACGCGCTGTGTGTGTGTGTACACGCGCTGTGTGTATGTACACGCGCTCTGTGTATGTGTACACACACGCCTTCTCATCATCACCATCACCACGATCCATGGGCAGATAGCCCCGTAGGTGTCCACTGCACATTCCGTCATTTGTTGTTTCCACTTTCCTCTCTGTCTCGTGCCAAATATCCCCAAATAGTGGCCGCGTCTCTCTGACCCAATCCTGACCAAAGCCAACCCATTAACCCGGCACGAGTTCCAGCCGTCCACCTCACCCTGACCCCTAACCCCCTAACGAGCGTTACGAGTCCTCTCTCTCGTCGTCACCGTGAGTCTACCCCGAACCCCAGGGCCGCCTCGTCCCCACGGGTCGCGCTCGCTCCGCGGCGACAGCCCCCGTGTCGTCTTCTTCCTCCTCGCGTACAGGAAACGCCACTAACAAGGAGACATTCACAGCGAGCCTGGGGCCCTCTCTCCATCCTCTGTAATTCTCTCTCTCTCTCTCACCCTCTCTCTAACCCCTTCTCCCCCTTCTCAGCCCTCTAGCTTCCATCTCTCTCCATTCTCTCTCACTTGTCTGTCCCCCCCCCCCCCCCTCCATTCTCACGGATCCAGCTCCCATCTCTCCCCCGCACTCCCTCTGTTGAACCCGCTCTCCCCCCACCTCGCTCTCCCTGTCATCTCTCTCTTCTCAACCCTCCAGCTTCCATCTCTCCCCCTCTCCCCACTCCCCCCCCCTTGTCTGTCTCCTCTCTCTCATCTCTCCATTCTCACGGATCCAACTCCCATCTTTCCCCCTCTCTCCATCTCTCTCACCTGCTCTCTCCCCACCTCTCTCTCCCTCTCATCTCTCCCTTATCGCCCCTCCAGCTCCCATCTCTCTCTCATCTCTCCTTTTTCATCCCTCTAGTTAACATCTCTCTCCGTCTCTCCCATCTCTTCCCCCTCTTTCTCTCGTCTCCCCTCTCACCCCTCCAGCTCCCATCTACCCCCATACCACCACCCCTCCTTTCTCTCCCCTCTCTTATTAGATTACTAATTAACCGATGCGATGCCTTCACTCAAAGGTCTCTATGTATTTACGGGGTCAGAGCGAGAGAGATAAAGGGAGGGAGGGGAGGGAGGAAGCATTTTTCTCTGCTGTGCAGAGAGGAATTCCGCATCGGGAAAGCGTTGCTCCGTTGGCACAGAAGTTCGACGTCGCGTTGCCGCCCTCCGGAGACGCTCGAGTCGGATGAACGCAGAGTTGTGAGAACGGCGCGTCTTGCCAATCGACAGTCTCGTCAATGATCTGAAGCGACGTGAGAGGCGCGGCCACGCGTTGAGGCATTTGTGGGGTATCCCGATGCAGGACGACGCCACCTAAAACACGACTCCGCGAGGTGTCTCCCCGGATACGTAGCGAACATCGACTACAATGACAGATGCAACAATGTCTCATCATAATCAGCCACACGTAGTGGACTGTGGAGCGGTATGTATGTATGTGTGTAGAACTTCTTTCGCACCGTACGTAGCCGACCGTGCTAATCGGAGGTGCGGGGGAAGGACAACAAACTAAACACACGAAGCATTTCTAAAGAAATTGGTTTTCAATATGGATGATAAAAAATTGCATAGCTCCAGTAGCTTCTTAATACCGGAAGCAAGAGCGTTCCAGACGGCCGCGAAGCGCATCTGAAAACGCCGCGCGCTGCGGTGACCGCCGCCTTTGTTCGATGGCTGAGCCAGAAGCTGCTGCTGCGAGCATGAGCGGTGTTCGCGTGATGATGGTTTTTGCTCCTTGATATCAGCAAGGTAGTGTGGTTAATGGGTGGCAAGCACCTTGTGTGTGTGTCATGAGTGCAACCTCACAATGCATTCGTTTGACAACGTGGGAAGCCAACGCGGCTCTACACGATGCCTCTAATCGACTCGAGGTGTGATGGTCAAGCTGAGCTCCTTACAGCTGCTGGCTCTTTCAAGCAAAAGCACAACAGCGAAAACCTCCACCACCGCCATCACCACCGCCATCACCAACAACATCACCACCATCATCAGCACCACCATCATCACCACCGTCATCATCATCATTACCACCACCATCATTATCACAACTGTCATCATCACCATCATCATCACCACCATCATCACCACCATCATCATCATCACCACCACCACCACCATCACCACCACTATCATCACCACCACCACCACCGTCACCTTTGGCTACACCGACCTCTCCACCCCTGCCCCCACAACTCCACTCCCGCCGTCAGAGACTCGAGAGTGATTTAAATTTTAGATGCAGTCGAGTTGACGTCACCCCCATGATGTCATCTCTTTGGGGGTCGCTGAGCGAGAGGGGGCAGAGGCAGAAAGACGACGTGTGGGGGGTAGGGGAGGGGAGGGGCATGGGGGAGGCTGTGGGGTGGGGGCGCGGGGTGGGGGATTTGGAGTCTTAATTCGCACAAATAATTAATGCGTGCGCGGAATGTCTAATGAGACGTCGTGGCTGCTCGTGGCAAGAGCAAGGGGCGCTGCACACTCGGAGTGACATTAACGTCGCGCTATGAGCTGGATCATGGAAGGGGGTTTATTGCCCATTAAATGTGCACAGACGCGGTGCCGGCGGTGCGCATGTTTGTTGCGTGCACACGTGTGCGCATGGGTGAGTGTATTTGTGTGGGGGGAGCGGTGGCGCTGCGGTTAGCGCACTGCTCTACAACACCGGCGACCCGAGTTCGATTCTCGCTCACGGCCAACAACACCGGTGACGATGATCTGAACCTCCCCTAGGTCGACTCAGCCTAAAACGAGGGCAGTGCTTGATGCGAGGTGTCAACGTCGCCGCTCGAGTCGCAGGTGGCACGGCGAGCCACAGGGAGGCCGCGGTCCGTCGTAGTCGCGGGTGGTGTCAAGGTCACACTCTGCCCGTGATCGCACGCACACGTGTGTGTGATTACACGTGTGTTCGTGTACATTTACACACGCGTGTGTGTGATTACGCATGTGTGTGTGTGATTGCGACTGTGTGTGTTTCATGAATAAACACTGATGACGATGATCACAGGCGCGGGATTGCATTGAGCGCAGTCGACCGTAGAATTCGTGTCGCCAGCATCATCGACATCAGCAGCAGCAGCCATGGTCAACCCACTGCTAGATGAAGCTCCCCCCTCCCCCAACTCCTAACTTCACCGTAAGGCTCCAGCATCTCTCACGATCTAGTAGCTCTCGAGCTAACGACATCGCTCCATCTCCTCGGTGTGACGTCTTCTCGCTCCGTCGCCGCTCCGGGCCCCTCGGCACTCGACCGCGTGTCGCCGCGGGGCGCCCGGCTCAGAGCCCGCTGACGTCTCTGTAGGTCGCTCCACCTCCCGCGTGTGTCATCGATTCCACGTGTCTCTCTCTACTCTCTCTGTCTCTCTCCTTTCTCCCCCCTCTCTCTCTCATCTCTGTCTCTATCTCTCTCATCTCTCTCCTCTCTCATATCTCTTTCATCTCTCTCATCTGTCTCCTCTCTCATCTCTCTCCCTTCTCTCTCCCCTATCTCCTCTTTATCTCCTCTATTTCTCTCATCTCTCTCGCCTCTCTCTCTTTCTGGGCGCGCACGCGCGGCTCTGGGTGGAATTGAGAGATGGAATG